TAATCCCAGCACTTTGGGAGGCTGAGGTGAGAGGACTGCCTAAGCCCACGGATTTGAGACCAGCCTGGGCATCATGGTGAGACCTCGTTTTTACAATAAATAAAAAAATTAACCGAACATGGTGGCCCACGCCTGTAGTTCCAGCTATTTGAAAGGTTGAGGCATAAGTATCACCTGAGCCCAGCAGGTCGAGGCTGTGGTGGCTGTGAGTGTGTCATTGCACTTGAGCCTGGGTGACAGAATGAGACTCCAACACACACACACAAAAAATGGCGGCAAGAGTGAAGGAAGGACCATCAACAAGTCCTCTGCAGCTGGTGTCAAGGTCTCTGGTGGTCATACTGCAAGAGGCTCTTGGAGCTATCACAGACTGCTGGGGAGGGTATCGGGGAGACACCTGCAACTGCCAGGTGCAGATGGGCCAGTGTGTTCCTGAGCTTCTTATGTGCTTTAACCTCCTCCGCCCCCTGCCACCCCTCTTGCTGCTCCCACCCTGGTCCCTACCTCCCATCCTCTTTCCAACTCTTTTGGTTCCTCTGCCTCAGTGGGATCAGAAACCTGGGTTCTCGCCTTGCCCTGCTGAGATGGGCAAGTACCTAGTAAATTAAGTGTATTTCTGCAACCTGCTCACAGAGTGGTTGAGCCAGCCCTATGCAACCTTTTCCCTTTTCTTTTTTTTTTTTGTGAGCCTTTTCATTTATGCTTTATTATGGAAATTTTCAAACATACCTAAGTGTGGACAGGGTAGTATAATGAACAAGTACCCATCACCATGCTTAATTAACATATTTTGCTTTAAAAAAAAAAAAGAAACAATGTCTCACTCTGTTTCCCAGGCTAGAGTGCGGTGCATAATCATAGCTCACTATAGCCTCAACTTCCTGGGCTCAAACAATTTTCCTGCCTCAGTCTCCCAAGCAGCTGGGACTACAAGTGTGTGCCTCCACACCCAGCTAATTTAAAAGAAAAATGTTTTTTAAAGATAAGGCCTTGCTATGTTGCCCAGGCTGGTCTTAAACTCATGGGCTCAAGTGGTCCTCCTACCTTGGTCTCCCAAAGTGCTGGGATTACAGGAGTGAGCCACACCCACTCATGCTTTGCATTT